TGCAATCTTAACAGAAACTTTCATTTTATGGTTTTGAAAATTTTGAGTGTCCTTTAAAAGGGGGGATTTTGGGGGCAACTCTAAAGTTTTAAATTGAAACCCTCTTCAAGTGACATCTCATTTTAAAGTGATTACAAAAACTTAAAGAATGGTGAAAACCAGAATTCGTTATCTTTTCTCTATCCAAAATGGTAGCCCGTCAAAAGTTTAACGACTTTACTGTTACATTAATTTTATTGTGTAATAAAAAGTGATTTCCCTCCCTCTAATTTGTTCCTAAGTAAATGTTACAGAGTTATCCTTTTAGTAGTACAACAACTTTAGCAGGAAGTTTCATTTTAAAATATTTGAGAGTCCCCTAAAAAGGGGATTTTTGGGGCAACTCAAAAACTTTAAATGTAAACCTACTTCAAGTGACACCTCGTTTCGAAGTGTTTAAAGAATAGCGAAAACCAGAGTTCGCTATCTTTCCTCTGTCCAAAACGGTAGCCAATATTACATCTACGAACCAATATTTCCATTGATTTTCCAAAACATTTGACGGGCTATTATTTTGGATAGAAGTTAAATAGAAAAGTCTGGTTTTCACCATTCTTTAAGTTTTTGTAAACACTTTAAAATGAGGTGTAATTTGAAGGCGGTTTATATTTAAACATTTTCAGTTGCCCCCAAAATCTCCCCTTTTTGGGGGACATTTAAAAATTTTAAAATCATAAAATGAAACATCCTGCTAAAATTGCACGACCACCAAAAGGACATCTCTGTATATTTACTTATAAACATGTTAGAGAAGGGGGTCTTGACTTCTTATTCACCCATATGAAATATAATTGATATATTTATTTTATATTATTCATATTAAACCTTTTTTAAAGAGTACGACTAATTTCTTACATTCCAGCTGATTTTATTACACTTGTATGTAAAAAAAGCTTCTTTTAGTCTTACTGCAGCAAAACAGCTGATTTAAAATCATGAATTGCAGGTCTTAAATATCCCTTTCTCTCCTTACGGAGTAAAAATCAGCTGTAGTCGATGACGTTTGTAGTAAAATTTTCTCACTTGTTAGTGTAATTTACAAGGTTAAGTGTTTTTAGAAGGTTGACATACAGTACCTAAATAAATTCTTAATTATTGCATTGGTAAATAGATTTGACCCATGAAAAACATCTTTAATTGTAGAAGATGTCAATACAGTTTTATGAAAACGAATTCTCAAACAACTAACAAATCACAAACGAATAGTCTTCATTAATACATATTAAATAAGTAGTGCACGTAGTTGTGTATGCAAAGTTTTAGCCATGACTATAAACAATTTCATCTGTGTAACCGAACATTTTTATAGAGAATGCAATAACTTGCTTCGCATTATTAGGCTGTGAATTTATTTTTACGTCTGTAACGTATTAAGACGCCTCAATCCACTTAAATAATATTTAAACTTTATTTAAACTTCAAAGAAGAAAATTATCGTGTGAAATACGCTTTATATATTAAACCCTTTTGAATAATTAACGCGTATATTAAAAGGTCATTGTGTTTAATTTTTTTTTATTGAAATATTTTACTAATAATATACACCACTTAGAACCATAAAAGTCTCTAATACTTATAAAACAGATTTTTTAGCTTCAGTTATTAAAAATTAAACCGCAAGAGTTAGCGCATTACTTTTTTATACATCTGAACTTAATTTTAACAAAAAAAGAATTTCTTGAATAGATGCAAAAGTATTTTGCTCCGGTGGATGAAACTCCATCTAAGGGCGGTAAACAAGGCGTCTCACTGCCCTCTATAATCTGGATGTAACAAGATTATATCAAGTGCATTGATCTGGATGGGATCTGCTAGATACCGTCTAATAGGATACAAACTGGTAATGTTATTCACTGCACGGAGCAATCCATATAACTTTACTTGCAATACTTATTAATACAAATTGTACATCGTTGGTAGGTTTTAATATGTTTACCCGACTCTCTTGTATTGAAGTGAGCTGGTGTAGTGGTAGAGCTTCAGAGCCCGAGGTCCCGGGTTCAAATCCCTACAATTACCAATGAATTTGATCTATGTGATAATGCCACAACCCTCGAGGACTAACCGGAAGTAATGTGTAAAACAGTTTTGGGCTAAAACATATTATCCTAGCATGTAAAGGTGGACAATAAAAAGTATTTAAAAGGTTGAATGTTTAGGGGTTTAATGGTTAGACGATTCGTTTTTAAACATTGATTGGGAGTTGTTACTAACAAGCATTTTACAATAGTTGAAATCAATTGAAATGTGGAAACTCTTTAATTAAAAAATAGTAAACAATTGGATGTATTTCTAACGAAGGAATTTTTAAATATAAATAATCATTGAAAGGAAAATCCAATACAATTAATCGTATAATTTAATAAATTTTGAATTCCCAAATACATTTTTGTGTTATGTAAACTATATTAATGCTTCAAAAATGTATACAAAATTTAAATAAAGTAAAGCGTAAATATTGGTATTATTTAGGAGTTTGTGTAGAGTTTTAGGCTTTAATTGCTTTGCAGTTCAGAGAGGCCATTGAAATGCTACAATTTCACCAGATTGATTATTTTACGTTCAATGGCTGACCTACTTCCTTTCAAGCAAGCGAACTTGCATTCCGAAACAAAATTCGAATGTCAAATAATAATTGTATAACGGATTTTGTAATACTTACCTGTTTGTGGTTGATATTGATCACTCCACTGTTGTTTAATGAATGATTTTGAACAAATCCGAGTGGTAATATCAAAGGCTATCAGTTGCTAATTGCAAATGTTAGTAGATGAATCAATAAAGTTAAATTATGACTAATGCAATCAATTATCAATTATTAACCAGTCAGATGGGGACGCCACCTAAGTGTGTATTTTAACCCAAATATGTGAAGATGATAAATGAAGATGTGTAGAGTTAGAAATAATGTTTGTAGCTTTGTTACTGACTAAGATTAGCTGTTTCATAAGCCAGGATCATTTATTTAAGCCAAAGGATCAGGAACAGCTGGGTCCAGTTTCGAACCATCCATAAATTACTACTAGTCCAATACAGCTAAAAAGGTTGTTTATTTGTTCCGGTGTTTATTGTGACATAAGTCCTCATCAAATTATCTTCAGATTGTTTTTGGAGCTTAAAAAATCTCTGTGAATATACAGAACTTTCCCAACAGTTTATTTATAAAGGGTATTGATGTTTTTCTTGATACAAATGTTTGCTTACCATACTACTTAAAGTGAGAGCTCTCTTATTACCTAGTTCGGAAAGAGTAACTGTCCGTTTTGAGGGTAGTGCTTGGGACTGGGTGAAGTAAATAAAACAGCAATACTGTAGGAAATAAACACCCTTAAACCCAAGTGTGCAATTAAACATCTTTACTCCAACATTTAAAGGTTTCACCAAGTAATTTTTGGCTTTTATGATGTTTAAAATTACTGCTAATGAATCTCTATTTATTTGAAACGGCATGTGCCTTTTCATTCATTTACCAATGAAACGGTTCTTACACTTTGTTGACTGGATTAGGCTACTATTTATTTGAAGCAACATGTCCTTTTTCGTAAATTTTTCGATAAAATGGTTCTGGCAATTTATTTATTGGTTTACAATTTTTTCAGCAACACACCCCTTTTGTTTATTTCTGGCAAAATAGTTCTAGAAATTTGTTGACTGGGTTACTATTTATTTCCAGCAAACACATATGCCATACTTTATTTTAAATTACCTTTCTAATACATTCTGGTACTCACCGTAATAGTATATTGACTTATATACTATTATAGCCACTCAAAATCTTGGGGTGCTGTCGATTGAATCGATTTGTTAGACCTTGCTGGAGGGTGAGGACAACTGGGACTGCTGGTCGCACTTTCTCCGGAACGTCCTTCAAGTGAAAAAAAGAATGATCTAGATCGGGTCACAGTCTAGATTTTGTAAGAAATGAACGGATAGACATGGGGTAAGCCCTTCGGGCGTAGGCAAACTTGGTCTAGTTATGATGAAGTGTGACAAGTGTTCCTAGGATAGTGTCCAAAGAGTAGAGGAGGTTTTTAGTGGATGGTCTCTGGGCCTTAAGCCCATTGGAGTCCCACACTACTGGCTAGCCACCTGTGTGCATAAATGCATTTTCCCACCTCTCTCAAAAAAAATTAGTATATTGGACGAGTATATATTTTAAGGTTTATCTTCCGGTAACAATGGTAATTTTGAATGAACAATTGCCATGTCATTTAGCTATGTGCTTGATGATGAAGGCTGAAATATTCTGTTTTATTACAGTTTAATATATTATTTTTCATTTTAGTATTAATTATTCCATTACGTACAATGTATTTGTCGAAAACAGTGGCAGGCAATGATGAACTAAGTGCAATCGATATTTCATAGTAAACCAACACGTTCTTGTTTGCGAATCAAACACTCAATGAGATTAAAGGGTCGGATTTGTAGCTGTTTGTTGATAGCGAGTCACCAGCCACAGCACATTATTTGTTTCAAACACGTATATGCCTAATGATAACATGATACTAATAGGGGAATTTAATTTGTGTTTGTTTACAGATTGATTTTATTATTTTTATTTAAATAGAAAATAATCCCAAACCATGAGTTTTCTTATATTTGGACGAACTGTTGGGTTAGGTCGAACAATATAAGAAGAGGGGGTATGAAAAATACAGAAACCCCTTTATAGCTGAAGGAAACTCTAATTTGATTTTGATTATGATTTTTTTAACATTCCAGTTGACAGAGTCATCCAAGAAGTCAATCATAAATATAACACGAAAAAGATAAAGGAGAGTGAACGTAAAATGTCTAGATCTTTAGTGCTTAAGAGTTGCTTGTGCTAGCGTAAATGGAGGATTACAATCTAAATTAGTGTAACATCTCATATAAATGTATGTTTGTCTGTTTCAGCTCCTCCTCTAGCCAAGATGTTTAAATGCTAGAAGCGACCAGGTGATACAAAGCTGGGGAGAATGTCGGATGAACGCATCCGCCTGGTGATCCTGGGAGGGGCGGGGGTGGGCAAAAGCTGCATAGTCAAGAGGTTCCTCTTCAACCAATACGTAGACCGATACAAAAGTACTGTTGAGGACTTGTACAACCGAGAGTTTGACCTAGGACCTGTCACGATAAAGGTAAATATATTGCATTTATAAATTGGTATCAATTAGTGGAGGTTTCAAGAATTGCCATGGATAAAAAGCAACAAGTATTGAGCAGTAATTAAGACCTCTTCGCCAAGTGACAAGAGAAGTAAGGTGCAGAGGAAACTTGCTTATGGAACAACCGTGCGATTTCATAGTAGTATATTGGTGCAGAAATCTACCTGTAGCAAGGAAGAGCCCAAACGGCAAGCAATGTAAGGAAATTGCTATCACTGAGGGCACTGAGTCTTCGAATACTGTGAGCGTTGTAGTACATCAGGTCGAGGGGGGCGATGTTAAACTGCCCTTTGTGCTGGTGCTAGAGACCACTGAAGCGCTTCATCTTGTGTACTACTCTGTGGTTACACGACAGTAGCGTAATTTAAAGCCAAATTCAAACTAGGCACAATTGTAGCACGAATAAGAAGAAGTTTGTGACCTCATGACTAAGGATGTAAAAATTGTTGCAAATATGTAACAAATATTTTTTTAAAAGTATATGATTAATCATTTTCAGAGTAAAATATAGTTTCCTCTTGTAGTATCACTTTTAAAATGAAAAAAAAAAACACATTATGAAGAACTTTGCATGGTTCTTTATCTGTAGTTTTCAATTAAATACAATTTTGGGTACATTTAATATTTGTTCTACAAGTTGGGAGACTTACCGAAAACTGTGGAGTGATAAAAAACACATATTCTACAACTTTTTCCATAAAATAAGTACAGTATCTAAAGAATTACCTTATACTTCTCTAGCATCGGATGATTTTGCCTAGGTGGATATTCTAGACACAGCGGGCGACATACAGTTCCCCGCAATGAGGAGGCTCAGCATAGCCACGGCTCACGCCTTCCTCTTAGTCTACTCCATCACCTCCGCAGACTCTTTCTCTCAAGCCAAATGTTGTCTGGAAGAGATTCGTGAACAGCGAGCTGACTGGCAGGAAATCCCTACTGTAGTGGCCGGCAACAAGCTGGACCTAGCAGTGACCAGACGGGAGGTCAGGGTAGAGGACGTCAGCGAGTGGCTGTTCTGCTCTCTACCTAAACTGAGGTGAGGCCAAACATTTTATGTACAGCTAGAGTAGAACCATTGACTTTAAAGTCAATGGTAGAACTGGCAGGAGATCCCCACTGTAGTAGCCGGCAACAAGCTGGACCTGGCAGTGACCAGACGGGAGGTCAGGGTAGAGGACGTCAGCGAGTGGCTGTTCTGCTCTCTACCTAAACTGAGGTGAGGCCAAACATTTTATGTACAGCTAGAGTAGAACCATTGACTTTAAAGTCAATGGTAGAACTGGCAGGAGATCCCCACTGTAGTAGCCGGCAACAAGCTGGACCTGGCAGTGACCAGACGGGAGGTCAGGGTAGAGGACGTCAGCGAGTGGCTGTTCTGCTCTCTGCCTAAACTGAGGTGAGGTCCAACATTTGATGTAGAGCTAGAGTAGAACTGGCAGGAAATCCCAACTGTGGTGGCCGGCAACAAGCTGGACCTGGCAGTGGCCAGAAGGGAGGTCAGGGTAGAGGATGTCAGTGAGTGGCTGTTCTGCTCTCTGCCTAAACTGAGGTGAGGTCCAACATTTTAAGTTTGATTACACTAAGAAATGGAGCACTGGCTTACCTATTTCTTATAAGTTTAATTTTAATTGGGGAAAGGCTCCGACAGTTAAAGTATTAACGATTCTTCAATGTTATAATATTAATAAATATTCCAATATGTAAAATGTTAAATATGGAAGACTAATGCTTACTAATGTCTAAGACACCTTTTGGTTTAATTTCCGAAGGAAATATTTATGAAAAATGATTGTAGTTTATAATGATGTTATATTACTATTTTTTATATTTTATTCAACACAATTTTGTAAAAAAATTAACATCCTAATTTTTTGCACCAATTTCACCTACACAGTGGTTAAGGGCAACACATCCAATTTCTTAGATTTACAAATCGTTTTCAACAAGCCTAAAATCCCTACAAACGTGAGAATAACTATATCATTATTTTAAAAGACAACATTTTTACATATTTTATATCTGAAAACTACTTTCTTAAAGGCTTAATAGTATTTGTTTTAAGACACAAGTAAAACTTAATATTATGGTTCACCATTTTCAAAGCAAATGAAAATAGTACGACATTACTCTTGTACACTAAATTTGTCAGTCGATATTGTATTGTCCTTTATGCTTAAAAGGAACTCAAAAAGGATCTGCGAAACAAGTGTTATAGGAAGAGCCACTAAAGCCGTTATGATGACCCTTGGCATTAGGAATCAAAGGCTTGTCATGTAATCATTGACTGACTGAAGGGTCCTTGTATATTGCAGAATTGCGGTCCTTGAATGAGGGTTTAAAATTACTACCACTAACACAATTGACAGTCAATTCTGATTTTATAAATTGTCAATGTGTTAAAGATTATATTTTAAGTCCATCTGCATATGCTTTAAATGAATATGTTTGGAGTTTAAACAGAAGATTTTTATTGTTTTTTTTTTTTTACTAAATACCCATTTTTTGAAGCTGCTTTACAAAAAATAATGTTTTACTTTTTACCATCGTATTTGGCTTTTATTTTGTAAACCTATTGAATCATAATGTAACTTTATAGTTCTTGCTATTAATTCACCGGGAGGAGTTTATATTTTATATTTATGTGAACAGCCTTGAATCAATAACCTTTATGTAGTTGGACATCCAAAAATCCCAATTCGAGTGTGAGGCATCAACATGTGTACAACTCAGTGATTATACAAATTCCTTTATTTTAATAGGCAAACAGTCCTATAAACAGTCATTGAATAAACTTTTTACTGTTCAAAAACTGAAAACCCAAATAAAAACTAACAGAGATGTACGAAAATCCTTTTCACATGGGACACTGTAAAATCCTGTCGATATATGGAATATTCAATATTGTTTGATAGTTTTCATCAATAGATTTGCATGTTGATTGCAGAGCAAAACTGATGGAGTGCTCGGCCAAAGATAACTACAATGTGCGTGACATTTTCAAGTGTTTTGTCACTTTGTCACGGATTTTGCCGCCGGCGGAGGACGAGACGCCACTGAAGCGACGGTCTAGCGCATACGTCAGAGGTGGACAACGTCGTGCGGCCAGTCCTCAGACTAGCTCTGAGGTATGTAAATAGCCTGTAGATGTCCAGAGTCTTAAAAAGGCACGAGAACGAAAGTTTAATACTTTAATCGTTGTAGGTATTGTAAGAAAGTTTGGCATCATTAAGACATTTTTTAAGAGGTTGGTGGCCTCTTTTCACCATGCATTTTAGCCATGACACGTAGAATACAGATCTGTACGTGGGACGTATCCAGCAAAGCAAGGGGTGAGGTGGTACAGTACTAAGGTAAACTGTACTGATAAAATGTTTTCGGCAATGACGAGGATCCGAACCTACGACATCGCTGCCTTGGGTCCGTAGGCCGTAACGCTACCAACTGAGCCACCGACTATTATTTATAACACCTTTTATTACATGCTTTTATTATTTGTAACTATTTTTATAAAAATTTTACTTTTAGCAAATATTCATTTTTTCTAGAGTACTCAGGGTGATCCACAAGGAGTTTAAGAGTAACTATAGATAAGAGCGTATGTTGAGTAGTACGATAAATTAATGGTCTTTTTTGGAGAACTCGGATCTACAAACTCAGCAGAGGTGTGTTTAATTCTTCTCCAACTATATGATATTGAAAATTATTGACTTATTCAAATTGTAGCCAAATTAACTTTTAATCTTTCACTGATATTAAAGAAAATAATAGATCCAAAATAATCTAACAACGTACCGTATAATTATTAAAATCAATAGTTCCTAATGTTTCGTAAGTTATAGATGTCCTAACCTTTGCTCCCCAATTTCAGCCAAACCTCTAACTAACTGTAGCTTATTATTTGAATATCACAGAAAACTATTAGAAAAAAGATTTCTAAAAAAACTTGCCCTACCCTTTCCACATTTCGTTTTTTCTTAACTAAGAAATGCCTATTGCTCAAAAGCTAACAAATTACTTCAAAGAGTAAAATAAAAAATCACAAAGCAGCTTAATAATTATCCTACTTCCAATAGTGTGTATTCATGAGAATAACATGGGCAGTTGGGAAGCCTGGTGGTACCGTAGACTAGTTTCAAAATGTAAATAGTCCTATGTTTTACTGTGGTGTAATCCTGCAATATTTAAGCTTGATTTTCGGGAAATTTTATCGTTAATATCAATGTAACATACTCAAAACTTTTATATTCATAATATTAGTAAGATTTTCACCTAGAACGACTGAAAATTAAGGGAAATCCTGAGCGTAATATTGCATGATAATTAAATGTGAATATGTAGCCCAGTCACCGAATAAACAAAACCGACTCCATTGATTATTATATTTTAGTTTGCATGACGTTGTAAACACGTTGGTTGATTTATTGGGAAGAATATTCATCGAAGCGACGAATAAAAACTCAACAAAAAACAAAAGAGAACATCAAATCACTGTTTTAAATTGCACGATGACTTCTGCTTCATTGGAATGCTCTTTTAAACATTCTGTTACGAAACAATTATTCGAATTTATCTGTTTACTTTATTCTTCGTGAACAATTTTGTTACTTAATAATATTGGTGATAGGAAAATGAAGACGGTTTGTAATAAAAATAATGTTTATGACTGACTTTGATACATTGGCAGAATGTTGTTCTACCCAATATACATTTGACAGGACAAATACCTGTTTAATTTACGCATTTAATTTACAAATACAACCTTTAAGTAAGGTATCTGCAATTGTCTATTGTCATTCACTAAAAAAAATTTCGTTATCTAACATTTGACAACTTTATGCATTTTTTCTTTTAGTTCATTTTCTAGATACATTTTCTCATAAGTATTCTCCAACAACAGTATTCCTAGTATTATTTTTACTTGTCTCCCATAATAAATGTTCAAACTACGTGTTTTCTATTCCAGGCAAGCACAAGTACTCCGACCAACCCGGAACCATCCAGGGCGAAGCCCCGCAGCCGTAGTCTCATCAGACGTAGCAGCAGAAAAGCTAAACAGCAAATTCGAGATGCTCATAATGGCACTGATGACTGCAACGTCTCATAGAGCCATAAGATTGCAACATCTCATAAGTCATGAGATTGTGAAGTCTTCTAGAGCTATGAGATTGCAGCCTACAGATTGCACCAACTCGTTTATTTTCGTACATAGGTGCTGAGATTTGGACGTTATATTCCAATTTGAAGTGATTTTGGAAATCGGAGTAGTATACATTGAAGTTTTTACTAATATAAAGTAGGTTTATCAGTTTCTATATTGTGAATGCTCAGTAAAGTTTAAAGTTGATGTTAGCTTGAAAGATTTTGGTAACAAAGTAACTTTGAAAAATACTTATAAATGTTTGTCTTGAAAGACAAACATGATTAACTATGTGGCAAGGACTGAAAGATTAGTATTTTAGAATTGAGATATTTTAAATACAAGAATGATAATTGGGATGGTTTCATAAGGCTCAATTTCTCTACTTAATTCCTTGAACACTTTATTTTGTATATTGAATTAGAACCATTGCCTACTTGAGTATAAAATTGACTGGAAGTTAAGAAAAAAACATTCTATGTAACAGTTGACGTTTTTTCATTGATAGAAAACATATGTGGTGGTTTTTTTTTCACTCCAGTTTTCATAGTACCTACTTAAGTTGATTTGAAAATTAAAGATGATCATCATATGATGTCCTTTTTGGACATGAATTAAATGTGGCGTTTTAATCAAAATTACAGCACTACTTTGTGATGGTGTTCAACTAAACCTATTAATACTTTACTTTTAAAAGGCTCAAGCTTCAAAAGGCATGGGCTCTTTATAGAAGTTTGCCAATATAGAGAAAACAAATGATATAAGAAATTGGGCCTTAGTCTCTCAAACACATTTATTACATCTCTTAAACCAGGTAAGAGCTTTAATGTAGATTGCTAGAATAGAGTACGTTTAGGGTCATTATTAATGTACTTTTAAGATTTTTTATGTTTATATGTGCATAGTGTTAAGGGCTTGTGTAATTTTAAGAAATATAATAGATATTTTAGATGGGCGAAACATTGTTAAATTTATTGAATCTCAATATTTAAAAATTACAGTATCTTAAACTAGGAAGTTAAAAGTGTATTTTTTACTTAAACTCTGTACAATTTCAAACCATAACATCTTCGAATATAAACGTCATATATTGCCTATGGCTTATATTATTTGATATTATAATTTATAAAATAACTTGTTGAAAATCACCCTGTCTGAGTAAGCTAGGAATCAAACGCGTTGGAATTTTGATATTTAAAATTAATTTATATGTTACATATGGGATGGCTCAAAATATTTTAATTGGTACTATATACTGTTTGATGGAACCTGTCACCCCTCCCACCGTCTAATTTGGAATCTGGCCAATGGCTTAAGGCTCGAGCCATTGGTCATTCCCAGGGATAGGAGACAAATTCCATCATACAGACAGACATATGGACAGAAAATCGCCAACGGACCAAATAAGGTGCACATTTTTATTTTTTACTACTTGTAAGTTTTTTGGCTTTGCTTGAATAACTATTAGGTAGTAAAGGCCTATAATACAAGAATAATTACGTTATTAAGACTAAGACTGTACCACTTAGAGCTTAATAAGTCAGCAGATAGATTAAAATTAGAAGCTTGTTTTTAAATATTGTCTTAGAATCATGTTTAGTTCCCGAATGGTTATTTAACTTCACCATAAACTCAAATCGTGTTTTTTTTTATGATCTCAGACGCACATATTTAGGTATGATTGTAAACCATTTAAAATAAGTGTTGATTTAATGGCTAAATGTATTTGTTATCCGTCCTTAATTGTACATAGGATAAATGGTAATTACAATATTATATGTATTGCTTTACCTGTTTAAGGTCCATCCACAGCCATATTTTAAATGTTTCATAAGGATCAGGTTCAATGCATGATTTTATTTTATCCCAATTGCTTGTATTGTACGGAGTTAATTGTAAAAGTTAATGAAAGTTGTATGTGTAAAGTATATCGGAAATTCTGTTATCTTTTTTGCTATGGGTTAATTTAATACAGAAGTTTATGGTCTATGTCCTTTTTTGTTTGAGGGAAATTATTTTATATCCAATATTTAACAGATTTAATTAAGCTTTGAATTAAATTTTTTTCAGGTTTACATGTTTCTCCGTACATTTAGTATCCAAAATGTGACGGACTATAGTGTGATAATTTGTGGAACGTAAAGATCTGACAACGAACTGTCTAGATTGAGTTTACTTGTAATGTCTTAATGTGTGTTTTACTAGATATTCCATGTCTTTGATGTCATTGGTCAATGTATTTGACATAAAGTGATCCACGTTTCCTGTTATAATTTTGCAGATGTTTGATATTAAAGTTTATCACAGTTTAAATTTTTTTTTTCTTTATATGAAAGATTTTGCTGGATGCCCTTGGTAGTTTTGTTAGTAAACAAACAATTTAATTCGCTAATTTAACCAACAGCTGTTGTCAAAGTCGATTCCTTTATATTGTGAATATAGTAGTTTAAGGTAAGGTTTAAATTATTTAGCCAACATATTAAATAGGATGTATTATAGTTTAAACCATTCTTAATTTGTGATACTTTCAAAATAATTATAATTACGTAAATAATTGATATGCAAAATATTTTTTTTTAATTTTTGTTATTGGATCAGCATGAAGGTAGCATGTAAAAAATGTTTACGCTGGTTTAGCCTTGCAGTTGTATGTATGTTATTGAATTTCATGTTAATTATTTAATGTTCATTGTTATTTACATTGTTAAAGTTTGTTATCGAAGTAAATTATTATATTTGATGGTTACGCTTAAAATAGCTATAACTGTATGTTATGATCGTAATGTATGTAGGATGGGAGCAAGATTTAATGTTTGACCATATCATATTGTACCAATACAAGATAATAAAGTTTTTGATGATTTTCTTCATTTTTTTGTACTTTTCTGTGTGAAACCATTGAAATTATAATTTGTTGTCTTTAAACTCATTACGGTCCAAGACGCTTACAAATAAATTACTAAATGATTTTTTATTCACACCAAAACCATAACATATTGTCCATATTCCATAATGCCACTATTATCATACCCCATCTACCATTTTTACACCATAACTATACCATATTCACACCATAACCATACCATATTGACGACACCATAACTATACCATTGACATCGTAACCATACCACATTGAATATAATGGCACCAAACCAATCTATACTGACCATGTTAACACCTTAACCATACCATATCGACACCATAACCATAGCATATTGGCACCAAATCCAAACTATACTGAAACCATGTAATCCATACAGTACATAGCTCCAGGGAATATCAAACGACAAATCTATATTCACCTTATATAACTTTCAACCGATTTCGTCTTTTAAGTAACGTATATAAAAGTTTGCGGTAAATTTTATTTTTGAATTTATTTATTTAACCTATCAGATGCAATAATTGTTGAATAACTATTTTTTCCCATCATCATTTTTCAAACCATAAAAAATTATAATACTTGTTTTAATAACTGAAGAACGTTTAGCCACCTCTCAAATAAACAAACACCTTAATTTGAGATACTGTCTATCGTATTCCTTCTGCTGGTGAGTAAAGGTTATGAGCAGGATTTTTAAGACAGACGCTTAAGTTTTATAAAGTTACATTTTCCAGCCGACAACAAAGTCAATTTCTTAATGTATTGAGAGGTCAAGAGAAGTGTATGTTGTTTGAGTAAAATCTTTTTAATATGGTGCACCATTGAACACTTTTAACGTTGATTTAAAAATGTATTTCATATACACAAATTGACAGATTAACTTTAATTTTATTTTTATTCTTTATGCTTAGGTGGGTTTGTTAAATAAATAAACTATGAACAATATTCTTACATCGAGTTGAGCAAATAAATAAAAGTAATCAATTCCCAAATAAATAAGGCTTGAAAGTAATTATTTAATTACCTGACTTAAGTTGTTTTGAAAAGCAGTGTATTTTTGTACTGAAAACCGCTTCAAATAAAATACGTTTCTATTCTATTCTATTTCACAAAACATTAAAAATGCAACTATAAAATACGGTGATAGCATAGTTTGAAGAGAGATTATGAAAGAATACAAGAGGTAAATGCATTATGTATTCATGGAAAAACATAAAATGTTATTCAAATAATAATTATAAATTCCTCAAATGGTCTACAATGCTGAATTTTATGAATTAAAGAATATCCAACAAATTTCAAATTAAAATATATAATATGCTTCATACCAAATGTTAAAACTCCTCAAGGTTATTTAAAAGTCCACTACACTAATTAAATTGGTAGTTATACATATAAAATACGAATCGTTGATTAAATCCAAAGCCTGGCTATAGAAAGAACATAGCCTCATTGCCAGTTGAGTGCTTATACGTCTAGCTTCACTGGTCTGTAACGGTTAGTGTGGGCTCATTGTCGACTGTAGTTTGACTCTGATTTTCATTGGAAGCTTTGCAAAAATAATATTCAATTATGCCCAGCGATATGAAATGCATACTATACTGACCATATTGCCACCATATCCACACCGTTTTCACCATAATGGCACCAATATGGAGCTATGTAACTATGGAGTCATATATTTTACAGTATATAAGTTTAGTTTTTAATAGTGTAGTCTCATTATGATAAGACTTCTAGTCATATTGAGCAATTTACAACTCAATCAAACTGTAAAATTTGTGCAAATCCGTTGGCAAATAAATAAATAAATTTGGCAGTCAAATGTTTAAAGTTAATAAACGGCTGCAATTGTTTCTATCAGTTTTGTGGCCGTATAGTGGTAATTTTATGTTTGTTTTACCAACACTGTTCGGTTTGTACTCCTAATGCGTTTTACTTGAATAATAACTCTAAGATATCAAACAAAGATAGTCAATCCACCTAAAAGATATGTGAACTTTTTTATATGGATTGGATATATGTATTCTGCCACATACCCCTACTTCAGTTCACACTGCTTGATTTGACGGTTTTGGCAGTCCACATTTTTTCAACTGGTTTAAATATAAATGTAAAAATAAAACTACTAGAATCACTTTGCTTTTATTTTATTTGCATTTCTTGTAGCGTGATGTTTCACAGCTGTTTTATATTTAATGAGGACATCAACTTTTTGAATTTCCCCTACTTATGGTTCTGACCAAGAAAAGCAAAACAAAGAAGTTAATAACTAACGTCAAAAGAAGCTTGATAAACCTACTAAGTAGTTGCAATACAAAATGCTTTTTAATCTGCTATTAAATTTATTGTTAAATTCGTGAACTATGCGTTTTATAATAATACCCCCGCCGCAGCAAACCTGCCGACTAAGCGAATTTCCATTTGTCTGAATTGATTTTCAGTTAAATATATTTTAATAACATTATGTTTAACGAGTACCTAGGTTTGCTGCTACAAGGGAACTAATAAAGTGTGTTTTTGAGTAAAATATTGATAGCTTAGTAGAAAATAAATAAATTTGCCAAGTTTGATCAAAATATATCCATAAACAAGCAAACTACAACATTTGACAATATTCTCCATAAGAATAACATGGGAATTTTAAATTAACAATTTTTTTAATTTTCTCCGTTACTAATAATCGAACAAAAATACTTTTATATACTAAATTATTTGTTTTTTTAAGCTCTTTAAAAAGGTCTAAAGATAAATCGGGAAATTTTGTGTTCTGAGGGTCAAAAGTGAGAAAAACCAATTTTTACCCCATAAAACCCCCCGTAAAGCCCCGTTCCCATGATCCGATCGTGCTGGTTCGCGAACTCATTCAAGTTTATCCCGCTTTACACCTTTAAACCAAATTTCATCAAAATCGGACAAAAATTACTCAAGTTATCGCGTTCACGGACGTATATATATATATATATATAAGTATATATATATATATATATATATCTTTATAGACTGCAGGATAACACTACCTACCGCATTGGATTGCAGGATATTACTCCCCGCGAGGTAGCAAAGTTTGGTAGCGTTATGCCTGCATTTCAAACACTTGGAAGCCGGGATAACACTACCTAGCACTCAGATTGCAGTATATCACTACCTCACTCCAATTTTATTGTTTTTCACCATATCACTACTTGCAGGCTTAACACTACCCAGTGATACCAACTCCTAAAATCTTTTAGACGCTAATATGCTTGGTTTGTTTTGTCTAACTTATTAATTATGATAAAACGGCAATTTTTAAGTGACAAATTTATCCTAAACAGTTTAAGATGTTGAATTACCGGTACTGAATCACAAAACATAAAATTATTTAGTTCTCTAATGTGGAGTTTAATTTTAGACATATTTGCTCAATTCTAATCACGTTATACTATATTTTTTTATCAAAAACGTTTAGTTAAATACCAGCTTTCATTTTAGTGGTTGACTATTATGATCGAATGTATCTAAAGCACGCTGCAGAAGTATGGCCAACAAAACAAAGCTATTTATCATTGATTGATAGTTAAACTATTTTAATTGAAACATTAACGTCAATTTTAACGGGTTTCCCCTAGTACTTTTAATTTAAAAAAAAAACATTGAAATAAACTGTAAATTTATAAAACTAGAAAATCTTAGCAAAAGTTAAAACTGTGAACGGTAACGGCTCTTTTTCCGTAGCCATATACCATTCTGAATACACGAGTAAAGGTTATACATCTATATTGTTATTATTGTATGTCTTTATTATTATTAGTTATATAGAAATCGGTGTATTACGTGACAGATACGACGAAACTTGTGTGACATAAGGTCGGCGCGTCTTTCGCCTAAGTATTATATGGTCAACGTAACATATTTTGAATTAATCAATCAATAATTTGAATTATGTCCATTTAATATATGACCTTTTGTTACCCACAGTTTTTATTATTTTTTCGACTATTTGTTAGGCTATTTACAAATAATTTGAAGACATATAAACATTTAATTTTTTCAGTCGAGTTTAATGAAGATTTTAAAAATAGTTAAACGGTTCTTAGTCTAATTATTTGAAGTTATACTAAAAATATAGACGAGCTGATTATTATTTTAGATAGTTATGTATATCAATTTGATATAATTGCTTTAACTGAGTCTTGGGTGGATGAATCAAGTGGGAATGTGAGTATGGATGGTTATAACGTGTTTATGAACAAAGAAAGTAGAAATCGTATTGATGGTGTGATTGTTTGTGAAAAAGTATTTTTCTGCGTGCATGGAGGAGGTTGGTATTATGTTTTGTTTGGTATTAAGGTTGGTAAGTGTTTTGAGCAACATGTGTTAAAGCATAGACAAAAAGGACTAAATAAAGACCGTCAGCTGTGCTGCGGTTACCATAGGACACAACACTGGGAGCACCATGTATGTACGCGCTACGTAACTACGCGGCGCTCCAAGCGGTGTGCGCCAGAACCTATGGTAACCATAGTAATTACATCAAGGTTGACAGTCTATATTTAATTATTTTTGTATATGGTTAAAGTAGAGGTAATATTTGGCGGTGCGCGGCTTTCCCTGTTATCGGTGTACAGGAGTCCGTCTAGTGATCTACAGTATTTCAATTTATCGACGACCTTGAAGCCTACTTAGGTTAATAGGGTATAGGAAACACTGGCTGGTCGAACGTCTGGTCGGCGAAATTAATTGCTGAATTTTGCCAAAAAAAAGCTAACAATATCTCAAACCACTACGTGAATGTTTTATATGGTTCAGGTTTTATTAGTTGTATCGATGTGACAACCAGAGTTACAGAAGATACAGAAGGCTATCTGGATCATTTTTTCACCGACTGTAAAAATAATAACTTCATTAAATCTGCTATTATAAAACGTGCTCTAACAGATCATTTTTTCATGGTTGCA